GCTCCTTTTGTTGCTAATGTATTTAGAGAAACATTTTTTATTGTCTTTTATGGCAGTAGCCAGATTAAGTTCTAGTTGGGCTTTGGCCCTTTTAATTTTCTCCCTGCATAACCTCATGACATTCTTGTAGTCCTCCTGAGTTGCCTGCCTCTTCTTCCAAAAGTCATAAACTCTCCTTCTTTTCCCTGAGTTCCAGCCAAAGCTCTCTGTTCAGCCAGGCAGGTCATCTTCCCCCCGAGCTTGTCTTTCAGCACATAGAGACAGCCTGCCCCTGTGCCTTTAATATTTCCTTCTTGAAGAACATCCAGCCTTCCTGGACTCCTTTGCCGTTCAGGGCTGCCTCCCAAGGGACTCTGTCAACCAGGCTCCTAAACAGGCCACAGTCTGCCCCCCAGAAGTCCAAGGTAGCAGTTCTGCTGACCCCCCTTCATTCCTTCATTGAGAATCAAAAACTCTATCATGTTGTGACTGCTGTGCCCAAGACAGCCTCCAACCATCACGTCACTTACCAGCCCTTCTCTGTTCGTAAACAACAGGTCCAGCGGGGCGCCTTCCCTAGCTGGCTCAGTCACCAGCTATGTCAAGCAGTTGTCTTCCACACCCTCCAGGAACCTCCTAGACTGTTTCCTCTCTGCTGTACTGTATTTCCAGCAGACATCTGGTAAGATGAAGTCCCCCACGAGAACAAGGGCTAGCGATTGTGAGACTTCTCCCAGCTGTTTATAGAATATTTCATCTGCCTCTTCATCCTGGTTGCATGGTCTATAACAAACTCCCACCATATCTGCCTTGTTAGCCTTTGCCCTGATTCTTACCCATAAACTCTCAATCCTATCACCACCATCATCAAGCTCTACACAGTCAAAACACTCCCTAACATACAGGGCTACCTCAATGCCTCTCCTTCCTTGCCTATCCCTTCTGAAGAGTTTATAGCCATCCACTGCAGCACTCCAGTTGTTCGAGTCATCCCACCACGTTTCCATGATTGCAACTATATCATAGTTTTCCTGCTGCATAATGGCTTCCAGCTCCTCCTGTTTGTTGCCCAAGTAACGTCCAGACAGACAAATTAAGCTGTAAGAGAAATCTGTATCCAGTCATGATACTGTAGTGGTGAAATTAATTTTGGGCTGACAATAATTCAAAGTATTTTTACTGTTTTACTGAAGGCAACTATTAAGCAACTAAAATGGGAACTCTGCTTTGCTGCACAAAGTGTTAATAAATACTAGTAAGTTAAAATTAGTGCCTTTCTCTTCACTGTCACTGTTTTGCCAGAAAGTTACAAATTTGCCATTTAAACAACACTCAGCTGGACCTCTCTTCCCTGGTTTCACTGGAGTAATATGTTTTCTGTACAAACATCTAAGGTCTGAATAGCAGCTGCCCCTCAAAGACTTAACCAGAGAAACATTAAAATAAACAATACTGTACTTATTCCTAAATGCTCCACCAAAACCCCAACAACCCCTCTTGCAAACCAAAGCACATCACCATAAAACCACAGTCTCTCTAACCTGATACATCCTTGGGTGGCTGCCCTATGCATTTTTGTGAGATAACAGTAGAGAAATTGCAGGACTACTGCACCGCTAAGATACAATTCAAGACTCGGGGCACCAATACAGAAAAATTTGCAAGAAAAAGGTGTTGTAAACCCCATTTTACTAAATTATCCTTATGATCATTAAGATGACAAGTATTCATTTGAGGTCCTCTAAAAACTAAACTATATTTTGTTTTCTTCAAACACAAAGATGTTATTTTCTTGTTAAAAAGACAAAACCCAAGCATTTATTACAAATCCTTAACTATCATCCACTGAAAGACTGTCACACTCCTGTTTCAGGCAGCTGATAACTGGGATAGCTTCAACAGCACATGGCCTCACACTCATCTGAGGAAGACTGGTAATCTGTAGAACTGGACTGGCAGGAAGGTTTCATAAATCTCAGCCCAGCACACAGTCCAGATGGAGATTATCCTTTTCTATCCTGCAGAAACTGTTCTCACTTACTGCCAGAGACATGTAAGCTCAAATGACTATGTACAAAATCCTGATTGAGAATTTTCCCACATTTTTTATTTTATTAAAAACATAAAATACTTGTGGATGGTTTTAGCTTCTCCAC